ACTTCAGTGACCTGTTTTTTATTCAGGGTTTTACAGTGCATTTATAATCGTATAATCATAGAATGATATGTTTGTAAGCATATCAAACTGTTCCTTAATTTCATCCTTTTCAAAAAGAATGGAGGTAAACAAAAGCATTCAAACAAAAGATAATAGCACACAACACTTCATGAAACTTTTAGGGTTTTTAAAGTAATCATTTTATCTTTCTTATGGATGACATTGTTTATTGTAAGACATAATTTTTATTAAATACACTGTAATACAAGAGACTTTCCATGTCATGTTGAGAGAAGCTGGTCACATGATTCACAAACAAAACTTTTAACACTGATACCTAGGCATCACTTTGAAATCAGCCAAGATGCAATGGAAGTTTTAAAGCAATGACTTGTTATAACAAACTGCAAAACAAGAACCACTAAATATTTCCACAGAGACATCACATTAAAAAAAAAAAAAAGAAAAAGAAAAAAGAAAGGAGAAAGATAGCTCTACACACCAGGTCACAGTTTGGTGACAATATAGAGATTTATATTTATATGTAGATATCTTCCTCTTTATCTTAAGTGACAAAGAGAGGGATATCTAGAAATATATATATACATAAAATATAGGTGGAGAGCAGGGCCGGGACAAATATTTCATAATTAATTGATTCTCTATTGGTGATTCAATTAAACATCAATGTTGAGTGAAATTACTTGTATATAAAACATCCTTAGCTGCTTTTCTTTAAGTTACAGAAAGATACATATAAGCTGCAAGATATAGGCCTCTGGAAAGATTTGATTTGACCTTTGTTTTCTCACATATTCCAATCAAATGGCCTCACTACTAGCAGCTTCTATTATCCTTGCCCAAAGTATTCAGTGTTTATAAAATCACTCAGAACCTTCTACAAGCAAACAAAAAACCCCCCACAGACCTGGTCTAGAATGCATAGACAGTAAAATAACACACCCATCATTTCCCATTTCTTCTCCTGAGACATATGTTTAAAAGATGGCAAAATAGTCACTTGGTTGCTATTGTGAAATTCACAGTGTTTTCCCTGCAACATGTAGACTTTTTTTGTTTTTTGCTTCATATTTGTGATTAATGTAGCCTATCCCCCCACCCAAATACAGGTATTTTAACTAAGGCTCTAAAGGACTTCTTGATTCAAAGCAGCAGTGGTTCATCCCAGCCACCACAACAAGAAAATACAACTTCCTGTGCTATCAAAACCTTCATCTTTGATTAGAAACACCAATCTGTTCCCCAGCCCCTCCCCACTCCCCTCCCTCACATTTTATAGCAGTATTTGAAATTCAGTCACAGGCTGCAACAACCCAGACACAGACTTGTTCTAACACATGTGCACTGTACCTTAGTCATCCAGTGACCTGATCATTTTATTGGGTTATTTAATTTCTTTTTAAAGTGTTTTTTTTGTAAAAGTCTACATCAACCACAACAAAAACAATCTCTCAGACAGGTGGGGAAAGGGGTACAGAGAGAGAAAGAAAGGGAAATAAAAAAAGGAAGAGGAAAGTAGAAGGAAAGAAGAAAAGGAAAGAAAGGAAAAGAGAAAGAAGGAAAGTGACAAAGAAATAGCAAGAAAGGATGAAAAAGAAAGAAAAAGAGAAAAATAGGCAGTTACTTATTAAACTGTAGACAATATATATTGTGTTACAAATCAAAATGAATGAATTCCTTCTAAAAAGGGCACAGTCCATCATGCATCATGGGGTGCTGTTGCTTTACAAGTATCTGTTCTCCACAGCCAGTTCCAAGTTCTGCAGATCTATTGAGAGTGAAGGACAGAGTGTGGCGAGTGCTGCTATTATTACTGCTGAATTTTGGAGTTTGCATTGTCCGACAAGTCGTGTTGCAGTCTGAATAGTCCAGCTCCTTCTTGGAATTATTTTGTTACTGCAGACGAGTATAAAATGCGAATGGAGCTGCACTGTTATTCTAGGACAATATAACAATAGCACAAACCCAGAAATGACAGTAAAACAAACTCTGTTTTCCGAGCTTGGAAGCTTGTCTGTTCATTTCATTGTGAGAAATCAACAAGTGAGATGGGAATGGAAGAAATGTTTTTATGCAATCATCTGGGGGAAAATAGTGCTTGTTGTTATATCTCTGGCATTCTAGCACTGCCTCTGCTGCACACCAGTTAAAAAGTTGAATCTTACAAACATAGAAATATCAAAAGAAAAAAAAATTTTGGTTACTCAGCAGACTTTATCAATTTATTAATAGCATTCTAATCATCATTTGTAATAACGTAGGTGTATGTAAATTTATACATATACACACAGCCCATACATAATGTGCATGCATGTCTGCACATATATAAATAAAATACAACAGACATAGGCATACATGTATATGCTATGTGTGTGTATATATATATGCCATATGCAAACACACATATATAATATATATTATATATATGATCAATTCATAGCACAGTCCGGAAAGACTTTTTAAATGAGCCTGATTGTCATATTTACTCAGTGTACACCATTTAGCTGACAGTGCAAGCATGATGAATATGCACATATACTCACCCTTCATTGTGATTTGAACACATTTCTTCCTCTTCTCTGCTCATTCTGCTACTCTTACCCACCTTTTCATGAACAAACACAAACTAAGTATAGCTACAGGTTATAGCTTGTCTACTGTGATTATACATTTTATGCACTATCAAGAACATTAATGATATAGGTCAAGGTTATCCATACTGGTGGCTCTGTAGAACATTTGGTCCTTTAGAAGTTTAACATACTGCTATGTTATTGCACAATGCATTGTAACACTTTATTTTCTGAAATGACTCTAATAGTCTCACGAGTAAATCAAAAAGAAGATGCCACTAAGTACATTTTCAGGGTTTTGTGGTTCTTTTTGGTATACGTTCTTTCAGTGCTTGCAAAACCCACCTTTTTGCTTTCAGGCTGGAGCCTGCTTTCCAATAGAAGAAGCATCTCAGATGCCTTTTTCTTCAGCTCATAAGAAACTAAGACAGAATACAGTAGGTAGAAACTTAGCACCCCCTCCACCACCTGCAGCCTCCTCCCACTGCACAGTAAGAGAGGACTCTGACCCCTTTCTTTTCCACCACTGTTATTTTGAAAATAAAATTCAATTTCCTTTAAAACACAACATTCAGATTCTCAAGAGAATGGGTTTCACTGGATGCTTAGTCTTTATCTAGCTTTCTATGTGAATCTCCAAGACAGTCTAGATAAAATCTTAAGGCCCATTTTGTAGGAATCTTCCTCTGGCTTTTTGTGTGTTTCCAGTTCAGTAGTGGTTAAGAAATAACATCTAGTTTATTAAAGAAATACTGAGTATGGCTTTATAGTTACACTGTCATGTTTATTTGTAATGCTGCCTTTTCAATGACATTGAGAAGGGTAAAATTTCATCACTGTCCAGTGAACTGTTTTCTTTTGAAAATGTTCAGAATCTTTATGAGCTAGCTCTAAAAGCTTCTGAAGGAAAAACCTAAAGTGCCTCAATAAATAATATATGCGAGCAAATTATATATTAAATGTGCTATGGGAACACTTACAAAAATAAAATGCTTAATTTATTAAATAAAATATCCCCAACACAAAGATGAAGGCCTATTTTGATCTGGCTCATATCAATAAGAAATAACAAAAAGAGAAAATGGAAAGAAAAATCACTTTTTTGCAGTAACGCCCCCTCACAGAGGGAGGCAAAAGTCTTGAGGAACAAGTAAGGTAGGTTTTCATTTGTAAGAATTCATATTAAAAATAAACCTAACTCTAAATTTGAAATCGTCACTTCTGGTTTGAAAAATAACAGGTATCCTCATGCAGCTGTCATCAACACAGTGGCCATGCAAATGTTGTACACATACAATGCCTATCCAACCAAAAATAAATTATTTAAGAAAGTGTGGATGTTGGTAATGACAGCACTAGTACCAAACATGGTGCTGAGCTCAGGCTCTTTGTACTCTGAATACTAAGCCATAACCTCAGAGTAATTAATTTTCTCTAGAGATCTCTATCCCCTGCCATGGCTCAAACATAACCAGTGATCTCCGTGCTTTAGATTATTCATGTTATGTCAGCCTATTGTATAACATTGTAAAGACATTTTAACATGGCTAATGTCCTCCATTAGCCCCTTCTAATGAAATATAAGTTACATTGTTATGAGTTTGCTATGCCTACTATGGTGTACTACAAGATGAGTGATAGTTTCTGCACAAAGGGCATTTACCGACAAAGACCATGCACAGTTTTGCTTGCACGGTTAAAAAAAAAAGAAAAAGGATTGAGGAAGGAAGGAATATGCTGCTGGACAAGCACAGTATAGGATACACCTGCCCCAGCATCTATAGCTTGTCCTGTCTTATCAAAATCCTTAGTTTCAACATGTGATCCTGAAATTAATACTGTACATTAATAAGCCTAGCTTCAGCCTTTAATAAAAAGACTAGCTGGAGAACATTTTTATACCAGTGGCATGACAGCATCCTTCCAGAAGACAAAATAAGGGCATGTGTTTAGTTTATCATACTGTAACATAATTGTGTGCAGTGCAGGCAGCATCTTCTTCCCTTTTACTTGTAATTGGCAATGAAAGGTGCTGGCAAAGCACCTCCTTGAACAATCCCTTTAGTCCTCAGAAAGACTCTTCAGGGAAAGTGCTATACTCCCTCTTGCCTTCCATCAAATCATTTCAGTTTCGGGTTTGTTTTTTTTTTGTTGTTGTTGTTTTTTGTGGGTTTTTTTTTGTGGGGTTGGATGCCATCTGATCCCCTAGTTCCTCCAGATAGTGTATCACGCAAGACTGTCTTCTTTCCATCTGGCTTTATCTCCACAAGGAATATGCTTCATATAGAGAACACCAGTCGTCTTTTTCCACCCACATGCCGAAGCAAAAAAATTGAGGTGAATCCATAGAAACTCCCAGTAGCTGTACAGTGAAATCACAAAGTTCGAGTCAAATATATTTTTCCCTTTTTTTCATCCACATCAAAGGCATGAATACAACAAGGCATTGTTAGTTGTAGTGGGCAAACTGAAGAGTCTGCTGATATAACACATCAGATTTTTAAGGCCTTTGTCTATGCAGAGTTACAATGATGCAGAAGCCAAATTGATTAGAAAGACAGGAGAGAAGAAAAAAATGATAGAAACTGAAAGAGAGAGAGAGAAGATACGTCTCAGTAATGTCTAAAAAGTCAATACTGTGTCTACAGATGGAGAAGTGCACGTTGCTTGCCCTTTGAAAGCTTCTCCGCAACTCTGTCATTAATACTGTCAAAGTTAAGAATACGTTTTAATGGAGTTCAGCGGCAGTTGAACACATTCATTCCCACAGCCCATAAGAAGAAATGCTAGGAGACTTTAGCCTAAAATATCCAAGTAGACTGGAGATGCCTTGGCCAAGTTCTGGAGGAGGGAATAGATATCTTTGATGTTGAGCCTCATGTGAGGCTCCCGTTGCCAACAGCCCAGCATCAAGTCATACACTTCCTTGGGGCATGTGCGAGGTCGCTGCAGGACTCGGCCCTGAGTGATGCACTCAATCACCTACGAGAAACCACAAGGAAAGGATCAGCTGTGCCAACTATGTGGGCGTCATCCACGGAAGAGTTAACTGCTAATTGCCACAGCAGCCTCACTGGTGGCAGTCACCCAGCCAGCTCTGCCAAGGGCTGTGTTTCTAGGTAGACACATGAGCAGCAGGATGCGATCTGGAGAAATCACTGTAATGTAAGTTGTCAAGGAACAATAACTTCACTGATGTTAAGTTCACCCATGTTGCCACTTCCACTCATGAGAGAATGATGGCCAGGAAGTAATCCCATACCTACTCTCTCTACCCATCTATCAATCTCACCTCAACTTAGAATCACAGAATCATAGAATCATAGAATGATTTGGGTTGGAAGGGACCTCAAAGATCATCTAGTTCCAACCCCCCTGCTGCGGGCAGGGACACCCTTCACTAGACCACATTGCCCAAAGCCTCATCCAAACTGGTCTTAAACACTTCCAGGGATGGGGACTCCACAACCTCTCTGGGCAACCTGTTCCAGTGCCTCACCACTCTAACAGTAAAGAATTTCTTTCTAACATCTAATCTAAATCGACCCTCCTTCAGTTAAACCCATTATCCCCTGTCTTGTCACTACACTCCCTGATAAACAGTCCCTCTCCAGCTTTCCTGTAAGCCCCCTTCAGGTACTGGTAAGCCGCAATTAGATCTCCCTGGAGCCGCCTTTTCTCCAGGCTGAACAACCCCAACTCTCTCAGCCTGCCCTCACAGAAGAGGTGCTCCATCCCTCTGATCAGCTTCGTGGCCCTCCTCTGGACTTACTCCAACAGCTCCATGTCTCTCCTGTACTGGGGCCCCCAGAGCTGGACACAGTACTCCAGGTGGGGTCTCACAAGAGCGGAGTAGAGGGGCAGGATCACCTCCCTCGACCTGCTGGTCACACTTCTTTTGATACAGCCCAGGACACGGTTGGCTTTCTGGGCTGCAAGCGCACACTGCCAGCTCATGTTGAGCTTCTCATCAATCAAGACCCCCAAGTCCTTCTCCTTGGGGCTGCTCCCAAGGCATTCCTCGCCCAGCCTATAGTCGTGTTTGGGATTGCGCCGACCCACATGCAGGACCTTGCACTTAGCCTTGTTGAACTTCATGCGGATCGCATGGGCCCACCTTAGAAGGTGCTAAGTTTTCACCCTGCTCACACAGAGCATCAGTGCCTCTCCCTCCCTCCTTAACCTTACGAGTATCCCTGCGGCTAATCTCTGGAAAGGGGTTACTTGTGACTGCCTGGAAATCAGGAGATCTCCAGATTACGTCAATCTATACAAGAATGGTTTTTGACAACCACTCTGCAGCAATGGCATGTATGACATGGAATTGATATCACCCAAAGCCTGTTCAGGAGATAGCTAAGCTCCTTTTCATTGTTTCATGGTCTTCCTCAATACCCAGATCAGACTCTATCCTATCCAAAGCAAAAAGCTAAATTCCAACTGGTACAGTTCTGCTTGGACAACTTCCATCCATCCTGGCTAGAAAAGGGTGAAAAGGAAGAAATTCACCTACAAAGTTCATGACAATACCATAAATGCCTGATATCAGGTTTGCCTTTACTAAATAAATCTGTTGCTGTCCTTTCTCCAGATAAGTTATAGCAACAGTTAACGTGCCAGCCTTCCCATTACAGTTTGAGAATGTATTACACACACCTCGTTGTTTGAGAGCTGATACCATGGCTGTTTGCCATAGGTAAAGATTTCCCATAATACAACCCCCAGGCTCCAGACATCGCTTTCTGTGGTGAACTTCCTGTACATGATACTCTCTGGAGGCATCCAACGAATGGGTAGCATGGTGTGACCCCCAACCTGAGAAAAAGAATTAAAGAGTCAGAGACAATTCCTCCAGACCCTCACAAGGAAGACTATCAAGAAGTTAAATAAGGAGAATCCATGGTTTCTTTTTTTCCTATCTTATACCATTCACTTTGAGGAACTTTTAAGAACTAAGGATTCATAATCCAAACTCCTTTCCCCCCAACAACAATGACTACCATGACAGGTTTCTCAACAGAATCTCCAGAGACACTGTTTCTGAAATGTAAACTCATCTGTAACATTTAGTTGGCTCACCCTAGCCAAGGAACAGGAAGTTCTATAAAATAATTGATTAATTTAGCCTACCAACCCACTTTAAATTAGGCCAGTTTTACTCTCCATTTTGATACTCAGGAAACTAGAAAAGATTTATGAAATTAAATCTGCACCCATGATTCTCCTAGAAACTGAGTGATATCAACTGAAATACATGAAGACACAATGGTCTGACTGCATGACACTTTCAGATCAGGATCTGTATGGTTTAATATCCTAATTTTGAGTGAATTAAAGCAATGCTATTTTCTGTTGATAATTTCCAAAGTTAATGCATCAAATTATTTTGTTCCACATTAACTACCCAGTCCTACACAGCTTTAAAAAAAATTTCAGTCCTTTGGATATATTCCCTTGATAATAAACTTGTAAGACACGGACTCCCACCCCAAATCAACTCATGTTGAATGGGATCTGTCACTAAATTAATGCCTTTCTGAAAGTCTATTAGAATATTTTTCATTTTCTGCAGAATGCTATACTTCCTTAAAATTAGGTTTCCTAACCTCAACTTAAATTTTTAAAAAGTTCTTATTTCCAGTTTCTAAACAATTTATTGTTCCTGATATGTCCCATTCTAACAGGATCACACCAATAAAGAGATCCACTCAAGTACATTTACAATAGTGTAACTGCTGAGATACTGTGATATAGATATGTAGATATTCTGATTTCTTTTGCATCAAGACAGCCACAAATATTTTGAATTAAGTTTAAAAAAAAAGGGGGGAGAAGCTTTTTTTTAAGGACGTCTAACTTTTGGTTAACTCTCATTTTCCTGTCTGAAAATGTATTTAGTTATGAAACCACATTTGCACTTTCAAGATTTTGTCAATTCAAAGTATTATTTCTCCTTGTGGAACTTTACATTTGTTGTTATAAATAATGCCCTCCTTGTTCTCATGTTTAAACAGCAAGTGGAGGGAAAGCCCAACAGAAGTTCAGTCAGGGTTCACATTATTTCTAAATCATTTAGAACATCCATTTCCAGCTATTTGTCAGTAATTCAGTGTTGGCGCAGCATAGCACAGCTATGGCTGTGAGAGCTCAACCATATTCTGTGCATCACCACAAGTCAACACTTGCTACTGACTCCATAAAAACAGAAAGTCATGCTAAAAGTTTCACAAACTTGGTCTATTACTAGCTTTCCTTCTCCTCTCCCTACATGAGATGTCATGCAAGCGATGGAGGAGCATTTTTTGTCAGGATGCTGAATGAAAGGCAGGGGTCCCGAGTTCAGTTCCTGGCTACATTGCGGATTTGCTTCTGACTCAATGCAGGTTGCTGTGCACAGGCTTCAGAGAATGGGACCAATTCCTGCGGCTTTCTGCCTTACGTAAAAACATACACGTGAGCACTCCATGGACAGAGGATGGATACACATTTTTAAGTGCTTTGCGCAATTCAGCCTATTTGTCTCTGTGTTACAGTTTACCCCTCTGGCAGGCAGACTGGCTGTAAGGCTCTGTACATCAGTATTTTTAATCATCTTTGATTAAGAAGTCACTCAATGATGTGGAGAGTTTGAAGTAAGGCACACACAGACTGAGATGCAAATGAAGACTCAGTTTCCCACCGCAGTTTCATAACCTAAACTAACACAGCAACCAGACATCTCCAAACCATCACTTTCACCCCCATCTCGAGAGGTGTTTTATTAGAAAGTCAGAAAAGTTAGTCCCTTTGAAACATGCTGCCACATACACCTGGACAAAGAGCAAGTGCCATTAAAAGATGGTTAGTGATGAGAAGCTTTTGATCTCATCAAATATTAAAATGGCTCTTAGATCTGCTCATCATACAGCTTCTGCTACTGGCTGTTTTCAGCAATTTATTTGCCTCATTCCTTAAAAATTAATGAAAGCTATAAACAATAAAATATATGTCTCTATTTTTTCATATTTGTCACATCTTACATCAAGAGACTTTGAGAAAGCAATTAAAAAAACCCTACTCTCAAAATCTACTTTTTCCCACAGTTCCTTGCTGCCCAACCACAGTGTATTTGTAGTAGGACTCTGTGCTGAGTTTCCAGAGTCATTCAGTAAAATGAATGACACACCTCTAAAGTGATAATGATAAACTGCTACCAAATGATGGCTCTGTGATGAACTGATCTGTAACATCACAGACCTAGCTGTCTCTCTTTGCAGTCATAGCAAAACTGACTCATCAGTATGGACACCAAGAATTCAATTTACAGATAAGCATGAGCCACAGGGCTCTTTGGTGTTCTTCCCGTATCATCTTGCCTGGAGCTGTGTCCATTTCTGTCCCTGAAGATAGAAGACTTCACTGGGCAGAGTACTTATCCAGGACTGAGAAGTCCTGAGGTGTCTCCATCTCTATCATTGCCAATAATCAATCATTTTAGGCAAAGTTACTTCCAATGCCTCAGCATTATCTTTGTGAAGATAATATTTAATGCCTTGCAAAGTATCAACAGACTTATAAGGGGTGCTTTTCTTGCCAGACGGGATTGCATTGAAGGCAAGGTACCTGTGCAACACTGAGCATCACCTGTACCAGGCTGAGCATCTACCTGTGGTCCAAGAGCACCTTCAATTCCAACTCAGATTTCAGTTCAGCCACATCAAAATTACAGTTCAGAGCCTGCCCAAAGGCACTTTTTCTAAATGTACATTTTCTTCTCTACTAATGATCAGTGGTTAGTGAGTCAACGCTCACTCAGCTCAGAACAACATTAAGGGCAGTGTTACGTATATACTTAAAATGAAGCACATGCTTCAGAGCTTTCTTGAACTGACGCCTGGGGCTTGACAGCACTGTTCGCAGAATGCCTGAAAAAAATTGCCAGTCAGTTGTGAGCTTCTTTTGACCTTTATTGGACTGTGGAGTCCAAGCACCCACAGTTGTGCCATAATAGCAGTGAAGTGGAGTGCCTTTTTGCTGTTGTTGCCAAACTCTCAGCAACGCTAAGAGGTGCTTTCCAAGAAGGACCAATGAAGAAAAACATGACTACACTGACCAGACCTTAAACGTGCTGAGTGCTTCAAAGGAATGCCTTCTGTGTATGCTTTAATAAGAAATGCAAGTATTACACAGCTCTCAGATATCATCAGTATTCTTGCAGTCCCTGCAACGCACACTGTAATTGCAGTACTGCTTGATACACATAATTTTAAAATGGTTGTGTGCTAAGCAGGTAAATAACACCTTTATATTCAGTCTAGCTAAGGTTATGACAGGTTTAAAAACATTACAGTTTTAACTTAATATGCTATCACTTTAAATCCATGCTTTAGCTGTAAAAATGACCGCTTTCTGGCTATAAATTAGGGTATACTTTCTTGATGTTTACCTGAAAGCAGCTGCATTATGATGGTTCATTTTTATTTAGAATTGCACTTCTCCAGATCCCTTCTGGGACTTAAGTACGGGCTTCCAAATGTCAGTTTATGAAAGCATACACTCACTAGCCAAGTTGTAGTCTAGTATTATGTTCAAAGTTGCTTTCACTAGCAATATTGGCCTAGAATCTAAACCAGAAAGCCTGGACAACTAACTTCTGCAATGTCTAAACTATCCACAGGGAGGAGGCTACTATGCTGGATCCGTGAACTACGATGCTTTCCAAAGAGCCACTTCCAAGGGGAAACCCCCACACTGTTCCACGTATGAAATGTTGCGCTTTACACAATACAATGTCATTCCACTTGTCACCACTTTCAGCACTCATCAGTTAAATGAATTTAGCACTTTGAAAGGTGCCAGATAAGCCAACCTTGAACATTGTTTTCATCTACTTGCAAACATCAGTCTTCAAGGATTGCTGTAGAAGCACCAAGTCTTAGCCTTAAAGCAGGGCATCTAATTCTAGAGTTTGCTAAAGTTTCTTCACTTTCTGGCTGTTCCATATCCTGCGTCACAGGCACTAGGAAATTGTGAGGCTTGTCTAATGCAGAAATTTCAGTTTTAAGAAGGAGCCTAGGCCTGTAGTACGAAATTCTGTGGAATGTGATTTTTGTTGTCCAAGGGTCTGCATCCATCCATCCATCTATCCATCCATCCATCCATCCATCCAATGTAAACCCAGTTTTCTTGCACATTAATATTACTGCTACAGAGAAGAGCCCTCAGCTGATTGTCGTCAAGCTAAAGGCAGGCAATGACTGCAATTTCCCTATGCCAATTAAAAATGCATCTGTTGATACCCTGTCCTGCTCACTGTGTCAACTTCTACTGCCCAACTGCCACGGGAACCCAAAGCCCTGTTACCTGATGTTCGTGAGCAAATGGCTATGCTGTCTTACAAAGAATGAGCAAATGAAGCCTTGTGCTCCTGCTGGGAACAGGAGGCTGTGGGTAGAGCCAGGGGAAGCCAGCCTACAGAGATACGGAAGAAATAGGCTGCATGCGGGGCTGCACAGATGAGGCACAAGCCACAGGCTGGGAAAGACACAAGAAATAATGCTGCTAAGATGACCACTCAAAAATTTCACACCAGGTCTACACCTTACTCATTTGTACCATAAAGAGGGAGGGCTGAATGGATTGGCCATACTTTTGCAATGCATGCCAGCTGCAACCTGGTCTTACCATAGCAGCACTGGGGGCTGTGGTGCTGCAGGTATGACAGAGGGCTTTGGCGCTCCAGAGCCATGCCTAGGGTGCTCCATGGGCTAACCAAAGGACAGGACAGGGACTAGCTGGAACAGGGAGTAATTTCTTTTCCCGCTAAATGCTGGTTG